TATATATATGAGTATTCCTTATTCCCTGCATCAAAATTTGTTTAGGATTTTCTGACATAACTTTTTTGGCGTTTTTTTGACATTCTAATTCTGGATATATGATTTTCAGAAAAAAAAAAAAGTTGAGTATTATTAGTCATTTATTATTGATGAGAGTATTTTTAGTTTGTTTTGGGTTTTTTTTTTAATATTAACATAGTGAGGACACATCTGGAATATTGTGTCCAGTTCTGGGCCCCTCAGTTCAAGAAGGACGGGGAACTGCTTGAGAGAGTCCAGCGCAGAGCCACAAAGATGATGAAGGGAGTGGAACATCTCCCTTATGAGGAAAGGCTGAAGGAGCTGGGTCTCTTTAGCTTGGAGAAGAGGAGACTGAGGGGTGACCTTATTAGTGTTTAGAAATATGTCAAAGTGGAGTGTCAGGAGGATGGAGCCAGGCTCTTCTCAGTGATGTTCAATGACAGGACAGGGGGCAATGGGTTCAAGCTGGAGCATAGGAGGTTCCACAAAAACATGAGGAAAAATTTTTTCACTGTGAGGGTGGCAGAGCACTGGCACAGGCTGCCCGGGGAGGTTGTGGAGTCTCCTTCTCTGGAGACACTCAAAACCCGTCTGGACACATTCCTGTGCAATCTACTGTAGATGATCCTTCTCTGGCAGGGGCGTTGAACTAAATGATTTTTCGAGGCCCTTTCCAACCCTTAGCATTCTACGATTCTGTAGTTTTTGCATGTCTTTTTTTACTTTGTTTGAAAACTAAGGTCCACAAGGCAACACAGATGGTTTTATATATTATAAGCAACTGCTGTAATTTATGATATCAACGGTTTCAAAATTAGATTCATATGCATGACACTTAGGACAATGAACACATCGTTAGATTAGAAGTGACATACTCTGTTTTAAAGAAACTCAGTGATGCAATATATGCGCCGCTTCTTTGCGACTATATAAACGTTCAATTTGTAGCATGTTCCATCAAAAAGATTTCAAACTAAAAAGTTATAGATATGCATTATGTTTAAATGTTTTTCAGGATATGTTGCAGTCATCTAAAAAAAACACAAAACAAGCTCTTTTTGGGTGGATGAATAAGCACATGTATATTTTTATTTATTCTTATCTAATTTAACCTATGACTAACTTACTAAATACCAGTAAATGAATATAAAATTCTATGGTCTTGTATTCGCTAAACCTCTGAAGCCATAACTATAAGTAACAATATATACGTATTTTTATATATATATTTATTTCTGCTGTTAGGAACCTAGACATCAGAAATTATTTTCTGTCTCATTTGTCTCTGTATTCTAGCTTGTCTCAATTGCACAGTACACAGTGATGTCAAGTAACTCAAGAAGCTATATTAATTATAAACCCCATGTTAAGATAAATTGACTGTCTTCTCTCTTTAGAAACAGAAAAATTATTTTGCAAAATTAAAAGCCTAGTGGACTATATATATAACATCTCTGTGGGGCAATTGTGGTAGATGTAGGGAACTGGTATATTTTAGTCATGCTGTGCTTAGCAGATGCCAGTGGAGCTGTTCTGTGTCTCCCTCCTAGCAATGAATCCATCTCTACATATCTCCAGAAGATATTGGAAACAGACTGGAACAACTCCAGGTACTTACATATTTGGCTATGCTATCTTAGCTCTGCTGCTATGCATGGCTTCTTCCACGCCACTATTAAAATATTACTCTGCACAAAAGTGATTATAAACGTGCACAAAGCTAATTTATTTAGATTTTGACCTAGTGTACCAGTTTTGGCTGAGATAGAGGTCATTTCCTTTATAGTAGCTTGCATGGAGCTATGTTTCGGATTTGTGCTGAAAAAAGCCTTGTTAACACAGGGATGTTTTTGTATTGCTGAGGCCTTTCCTGCTCCTCATCTTACCAATGAGTAGGCTGGGAGCGCACAAGATGTTCATAGGGGACACAGCCAGGACAGCTGACCCCAGCTGACAAATGAGTTGTGCTATATCATATGATGTATTGCTCAGCTATAAAACTGAGGCTGTCAGTGCTCAGAGACTGGCTGAGTAAGGACCAGCCGGCAGTGAGCAATTGTTTGGGGATGTTTTTGCATCACTTGTTTTTCTTGTTGTTTTGTTGTGTGTGGGTATTTTTCTCTGTTTTTTGCCTTTATTGTTGCCTTTGTTTTATTTCTTTCTTTTATTATGAAATTGATTTTATCTCAACTCACAAGTTTTCTCACTTTTACTCTTCTGATTTTGTCCCACATCCCAATGAGATTAAACCATAACACCTAGAATAACCTCGGCTATCTCAGTGAAAGCACGATTTACTGTAACCATGAGACAAGGTAAGGAACAGAAATAGTCATTGGAAATCCCAACTACATTTATATTTGAGGCCTCTTCATATTTTAAGTTAGGTACCTGACTGGGCTGTGATCACTGTCTGGATCTCTAGCAGTTACAACACCCACCAGTGAGCCATTCATAGACCCTTCAACAATCTCCATCACATAGTTCTCCAAAGTGAAAACTGGAGGCTCATCAGCATCTTCCACATTGATTTTGACAATGGTTTTGTCTTCAAACGGTCCTTCTTGCAGAAAACGGTCATCAATGTACCTGTTGACAACTTTTGCTTGAATACTATACCTCCTCTTGTTCTCATAATCCACTCTCTGTCAACAAAGAAAATGAGATGTGGAATATTTCTTTCTTCACATTTGAATTAAAGACAGTTCAATAAGTCGTATGGGATTAAAGACAAAATAATACTACCTTTTTTTTTTTAAATATTTCAAAAGTTACTTTTAATAATTTTTTTAATGTTAAAAACAATTTCAAATTAAACTGTGTTATGTCAATGTTTGCTTTCACCTGTAGGCTGACATTAATACTGCCATTAATAAAAACTGTGAAAGAAATCTTCCCATAGAATGTCAGCCCTAAATAAAAATAACTTCTTCTATTAGCACTTGTATTTCCAATACAGGTGTAACCTTAGTGAACACTATTCTTTACCCTTAGATAAACATTACAAATCAGTTTATCTGTAGATGTTAAGCTGAGTATGTTATAATTTAGTCGTAAAGGAAATAAACTCCAGAAGGCAATGAGAGTTTAATGAACACAGGTACATTACCATTACAGATAGTCATTGTCTTCTGTAATTAAAAACAGAAATACTAAATAACTACCTTCCTGAACTGTAATAAATTTAAATAGAAAAGCAAACAAACAAAAACAACCAACAAACCACCAAATTTATAGCATTAAGTTCTTCAGAGTCCTAGATTTCACTAGACTATCAAAGTCTATGATCAGTTCAAATGATGATCCAGATGACCCAGAAAAATTTCTATGTGATTCCAAAATAAATCACGCAGTATCAAAACCTCTTAACTATCTTAATTCCTAATCTGGTATCTTTGTGAGTGTATTTAGCATCTTTTCAAAGCTATGTTGTAACAAAAACTCAACTGGCTATCTAATACCCTAAAACACTCTGGCTTCAGTTAGGTTTAGCAGGAGGTATTGAATGTGACGAAATACTGTGTACAATTTATTTGTGGAGATTTTACAGATAATGCACAAAAGAGATAGAACATTTTCTCACAATGGGATACATTGTTACACAGCCAGAAATAACATTAAAATACTTTGACTGCCACTATTGTATTCTTCAGTAATAGAAATGAGTCAAAAGAGGTAAACAGAAAGAAAAGCATTTTTCTTTTCATCCCCCTAATACCTCAATCAAATCACAAAGCCTGAAGAAAAAAAAAATAGACTCCAAAGTAATGGGCCTTTTTTCAAACATTCACCTTTCTTGAGGAGGTAGTTTCCAATATTTAGAGAGTTTTTAGAAGGTTTCTGAGATCTCACCTTTTTTAATAAGATAATTCCTTCTTGAGTCTCATTGTTCGTAATGATGTCAAAAACATCTGAGTTATCTCCTTCAATGAAATAATCCATGGCTGCATTCTCCCCTATGTCACTGTCTTCTGCGAAGACTTTGCCTACAGTAGCACCCACAGGAGCCTCTTCAGAGATACTCATATAGTAGAGTCCTAAAGAAACAAATTCTGGCACAGTTTAGTGATCTGCCATGGTTAATAGCTTCTGATGGCCTGAGTCTCTCAGAAAGCTGGGGAAAGCCTCCAGCTTTTATTAGGGTAATGGATCTAATCTAGCAATGGATAGATCTTGAAGGAAGGGGATGACAACTTCTCCACTCGTGAGTCCTCCTCTCTCAGGCGCACTTTAACAATAAATAGTGATGAAGAACCAACTGGGTGAAAAAACAGTGGAGGGAGACACTTCCCACCTGCATTTCAATAGAAAATGCCTCAAGATTTCAACTATTTTAAGTAGACTATACTCACGCTGTTGAAATTTAGGTGGATTGTCATTTATGTCAGAGAGGTTGATGGTAACAGTGGCTGTTGCTGACAATGCCCCTGGTTGCCCAACCATATCTTTGGCTTGGATGATGACCAAATACTGATCTTTTGTTTCTCTATCCATCTGGGAAGCCATTCTGATGACCCCTAAAAATGAAAAGGGTCCTATAATAACACGTAACAGTCCCATTTTTCTCTCAACTTCCGATCATATAATGTGAGTATAAAAATGTATCATTTGACACAGTGACGAATTTACATTCTTTACTGCACACAGCACAACTGTCCTAACACTAGAAATTAGTACTCACAGGAACGTCTACTCTGTATGACATATCCATTCTGCACACTTAGAATTTTGGGGAGCAGAATACACCATATACCTCCACTATCATATATATTGTCATCTTGTCCAGGAGCTAGAATTTTGGAGGGATGTCACTATCTGTTGTGTCAACATAGAAATGAGAATATCACATAATGATTCATAGAGCAGTTAACCCATAAGTATTCCCAGTCTGTTGGGTGGAGTACTCAAACTGGTTAATTCTCTAGAGAGAAAAGAATTTCGGCTTCCTATAGTAAAGAAAGAATTGAAGGGGGTTTTTTTGAAACCAAGAGCTATGAAAAGATGTATGAATGTAGGCGATCAGTTGATCTTTGCGTTGAAATGAAGAAAGACATTTTTGCTTGCATCCATTTTATATTAGTTTATGAATGTTTCCAAGTTACAAGATCATTTGTAGTACCTGTCTTTGGTTCCACAGAGAAATAAGGCTGGCCCTGAATGAGACTATAAAGCAGACGGGCACTATTCCCATGAGAAGGATCATCACCATCTGTAGCTGTTACCTGTATAACTGAAGTACCTCAAGGAAAAAATACAAAGGATCATATTTATTTTCTTCTTGTACAAATTATATAGTAATTACAACACATAAACTCTTCCAAAACCTTTTAGCAGTTATACCAGTTATATTAACAAACAGTCCTGAAAATTTACAGGAGCAAATGGCACCTTCTGAAATTTATGATTAAAAAGGGAAAATATTTCCTCAGCAACTATTCTTGTTGTATTCAAAATTTCAATTAAAATAAAAATAAATAGGACATGACTTTTCAGTATTCTATTCATGTTTCTTAAAGCTCTGCATATCTTATGCCTTTTTCCCTAATTTCTGATATGTGAATCGAGTACAGGAAATTGTTTCTCCTCCCATTTTATATTCTTCAAAGTAATTTATGGAAGTTTCCTACAGGAATAAGAAAACACAGTGACTTTATCACCAGCAGGCCCAAGATGATAAAGAAATTAATTGTTAGCAAGCAAAGCAACTAAGAAATATAACAAGGCTCTGATAACACTTTTATCTTTGAGTCTTTAACGAGCCTGTCCCACTGCAAGAGGGACGGCAAAATCCCCAGTGCAAAATCAGAGCAGAATCATTCTGCAGAGCTTGATTTCATTTCTGGCTGGAAGCTGGTTACATCCTAGATACAAGACTGACAGCAAACCCATGGAACCATAAGTGATAATTGTCCTTTAAAAGAAAATATTCACAGTAGTATAATTTTGTAAAGGTAATAATAATTTCTGTCTTTTTTCCTAACCTAGGTTCTGCATAAGAATACAAATACCACTTCTCATGAGGAATAACAGGAAATCAAGCTACTTTCTAAACTTTCTGCCATATGATCACATGGTCGCACCTGCTTACGTATAGAGCTCTATATTTTTGCTGGAGTAGAAAAGAAGAAATGGAGTGCAAGGAGTTAGACCAGAAATGCCTTTTTCACAACAAATTTAAAGTATATACGTGTCCCCCAAAAGAAAAATATATTAATTTCTGAAATTTCTAGACATTCAACTGTTTTGTTTTTAATTAGAAAAGAAGACTTTATCATAAAAGGATGTGCTGAATGACGCATTATGATTATTTTAAAAATAGGTTTTACATTTTCTCTCAATTTATTTAGCAACACTTCAAGTGATTCCATAATGCATGTTACCTCCTTTCAGAGTTGATGTACACTAAAATGCTATTAAATGCCACCAATTTTTGGAATTACACATCCTTCAAAACATATCTACAATACCAAACTTCTGACATTTAGATGTGTATAGCTATATGCACATATGTTCTATATATATGTATATATATTGCTATCTCTATATATATGTATACTGCATTGGAGATAAAATGAGAGATTAATATTTAATCAGAACACATATACACTTCAGAAAAAACAGTATTCTTTTAAAAAACTGAAGCGTAAAGGAAATCTTCAGCTACACAACCATTAACTTCATATCAGCTGCAGTCTACGGAAACTATTGTAACTATTATAGGAAATTCATCCTCTAAGACTAATATGACTGGAATGCAGTTGCTTTTATAGAAAATTGAGTCCCAGTTAGGAAGGGATCAAGAACTATGCATAATCCAATACCTACAGTCTGTTATAAATGACATTTTCTACTAAATAAATCCAAGTACCCACATCTACATTTAGAAATGGACTTGTTTACAGCACTGTATTTAATGAATTAGGAATAAAATCGAACATATCTAGGACTGCAAAGTTATCATTTCAGCTTTTGTGTATCTCACTCATTTAAAGATAGATTTATTTTCTACATAGTTTCTAACCATTAGAAAGAAATGTTGAATCTAAGCCAGCATTTGCTGCTTCTCTAATTCCAGATCTGCATTTCCATTTGCCTAATGGCTCTTCTAAAGTGTAGCAGAAAGTAGAAGTATGGAATTTGCTCAGGTGGGCTCAACAAGATGCAGCTGATGGATATAATGGAAAGGTGAGCAGACAAGCAGCATCTGATAAAGAAGTAACTGACCTGGAAGGAAGAAATAGCAGATTTCCTGCACTCCCAGGAGGAGGACTATTTTTAAACTGAGATGGCAGAAGACCATGTAATGTGAGTACTATGGTTTCTCATATACTTAGGACAAAGATTTCATGATCAATATAAGAACATATGAGTTAAATGTAAACTATGTAATAAGCATCAGAAGAAAAATGATATCCTGGATTTAGAACACTTTTTTCAGTTTTTAACCTTTCACTGCCATATATTTATTTATACATTTAATCTGCAGCAAACAAAGCAAGCCGTTTGCTCAATGGAATCTTGTTTACCTAGACATTTGTATTTGAGTGATAGAAATTACAGTGTTAATATTATGTACTCAATAGCTTCAAAAAGCCATGGATGGGAGAAGGAGAGTTGATCAGATACGAATAGTGTCTTTTAAAATGATCAATTAGCACATAACCTCCACCCTTCAGAAAAATAAACAAGAAAAACCCGCACCCCCATCACATGACATAACTGACAATCCTGCCATGATACAGTTTATGGCATTTATGTGAAAATGGATATCACGGCAAAGGCAAATTTACTGTGGGCTTTCACATTCAAAAATGGGCGTTTTTGAATATGTGCGTCTGTGTGATATTGGTATAGATTTTAGCCCAAAATATGTGTTTTATGTACACAATAACATGTACGTAAACATTTTTCTTAACTTTATTTAAGGCAAACTACATTTTGCCGATTCCTATAATGGATTTTTCTTTGTATTCCTGCAGCCTTGGTTTTACGCTCTTGGACAAAACATAGTAGTGCCACTTACATATTGCAGCCCATTATGTAAACTACTGAGCCCTCCCTTGGCAAATAGTTATTAATTTTTCTAACTAGAGCTTGAAATCTATAAAAACATTAAGTATTGTTCTATTATTGCATCTGGCTTTTCACCATTGCATCAGATATACTGCATTTGTACAAGTTTAACAGCTATATGGAAGACACTTAATGTAAAACTGTGCAAAATGCCTGAGGGAAAACCATGGTCCTGTGTTCTCAGAAGAGAGTCCATTTGCTGACACACTTTCCATTTACTTGACACTTGTGTATAAAATCTTAATAAAATTCATGACTGAAGACTAAAAAGAGCTAAAGAAGAAGCAAAATGTATTCTAATTTGTTGCCACATTAGTCTATATATATTGATATTTGCACCTAAATTTAGGCAAAATGATCTGTGACAATTTTCTGGTTTTCTGGTTTTTCTGTAGTGCTCTGAGGCAAGTGGCCAACTGTGAATTACCCTCCCCTTGCAGTTCACTAACAGTGAACTGCCTTCCCAAGTACTGACCAGACTTCCTGAGTGTGTTTTCTGTGAGGAAATTACTAGGAGATGCAGGTCTCACATCAGAGACCTGAACTGCTGCTGCAGAGCTCTGAAGCAGAGTAGAGGCAAAGTCTCTCCGTCGCACAGTATCATTTGAACTAGTTTTGTTATCCATCCTTAGTATGCAAGAGGATGTCCTATTTCACTGGGACAAAAGTCTCGTTCTACCAAGTAGCAGATAGGACAGAGGAAATGGCCTCAGGTTTAGATTTTATATTAGGAAAAAAATTTTCACTGAAAAGGTTGTTAAACATTGGAACAGGCTGCCCAGGGAAGTGGTTGAGTCATCATCCTTGGAAGTATTTAAAAGATGTGAAGATGTGGTGCTTAGGGACATAGTTTAGTGATGGACCTGACCTTGCTAGGTTAAAGGTTGAATTAAAAGTCTTTTCCAACCCAAATGATTCTATGATTTTATATAATGAACTACTACAGTATCAATGCTGCAAATTTTAACAGTTGGTTACTGTTTCTATCTACTGGGAGGTTAGAAATTTCCTTGTAAGGATTAATGCTTTAGGATGCACGCTGAAAGACATTTCACCACAGAAGTGCAGTCTCTACCCTTTGAGAGGCAGGGTGGATGAGCCCAGACAAGTCCTCATGGTGTGACTTGCATGTTTCCTGGCAGCTGACCACTGTTAGGCTATATACTATTATATACCACTCACATTCTATAAGCCAAACATACACGCTCGCGTGCTAGTAGTGTCTACATGATAGAAGAAGGTGAAAGAATGTCCTCTGAAGTAACTATGGTATCAGTGGTAGAGATGTCAAATCTAGAAGAAACAGTGTAGAAAATATTTCTATATCCACAGGACTGACTTAGTTTCACATATCATATACTGGATGATTGCAAATTTGAGAGTTTCCTATTTCAGGTAGTCTGTGTCTGAGAGAGGAAACCTGGGGATCTTGTTTTATTTTCACCCATTCTGACAAAAGGGAGATGGTGTTAGTTCTACCATTTTTTTTTTTTTATGTATTCTATATTTTACTGGAATCCTTTTTTATATCATCCTACAGGAATATCACAAAATAAATTAATGGTTTTGCAGTTTAATTATTCTTACATTGAAGTGAGAGAATATTTTAGGAAACATAAGAGATTGAATAAAGACTGCTTAGATTTTCCTTTTTAGACTATCAGTTTATGGCCAATTCAAGTCAATATTGATTGAAACTTCTCATCTCAACAGCTTGTTGATGATTTTAGGTTAGAAACAGGTATATGGGAAAAGATTACTACAATTGACCATAAGTACTACCCTACCTTCTTTTATTTTTTTCACATAGCCATCATTAAGACAGAAAAAGAAAATAAAAAGAATCTGTAAGTGAATTCTTGATATACTTCTGTGGATGGTTACAAGTCTGTGCTAATATAAATCAAGCCATACTAAACTATCAGCTATCTTAAAACCATTTTTATATGAGACCAAGTGATTCATAAAAATGCATTACCAAAGAAAAAAATTAAAAAGGGTATTGTTGAAGTCCTAAATCTGTGTAATTCTGGATGATAAACTATGCCTATAATTAGTGTGAGAACATTTAAAAAAAAAAAAAGGGGCAAGGGTCCTTAACTAGGCACCTTCTCATCTTCAAACTTGAGTGAATGAGCAAGATTCAAGGCTAGAAGTATTCTTTGAGCAAGCAGCTGATTATGCTAGAAAAAGGCATTGGATCAAGTGCTTAGACACAGAAATATGGAGAAAAGTCTACAGGAAAAAGTAACAGTGAAGAAACAACCATACAGCTGAAACTATTTCCCTGATAGAATATGTTATAAGCAGGATGACTAGGAAAAAAATGATTACATGGATGTCTTTTGTATCTCTTGCTGGTAGTAATGGTGAGCTACTGCTTCCTGGAAGAAATTAGTATACTAACCCCACTTTTGATTAAAGCCCAGGCATGAATATCCTTTTCTTGCGACTGATATTCGAGCTGGCAGAAGATTAAGTTTACAGCTCCCTGTGAAAGATTCACTGTAACTGCCCTAAATGTTGAATGGATAATGCTGAACAAAACATAGATTTTGTTACTTTTTGTGATCATTGATGCTACTATGTTAACAAATCATTAATTCATACACATTTAAGTAGCATGATATTTTAATTTCTTGTCAATATTACTTGCAGTAGAAATAACCAAAAGCGATAGGTGTATACATTTAAAAGATTACCAGAATTTGTTCTATGACATTTAAAAATTCTGTTTTCCTTTGATTTTGAAGGTAGATGTTTGGAGATAGCAGTATCTGTAATGTGCTTGTTTATGTTGGGTATATTCACACTTTGATTTTTTTTAAGGGTTTAAATGTATGTTTATACCTATTATATATACATAAGTTTTTTGTACACATATATGTATATATACATGTATATTTGTCAGTTGTTGACTTTGCTTAGTATTCGTTGTATTACGTTATCAAATACATGACAGATTCTAGTACAGGTCTGTTTAATCTTGTGGAACTGGGAAAGAAGAGGTGCAGGCATTATGTTGTTCCTCTTGACATGAAAATTATAATTAATGTGCTTAGGAAATCGGAAGGCACTCCTTCACTGCATACCACCAAACCAAAGGTAGAGAGGCTGACTGATAGGAAAGAGACTTGACAATATGAATAGGTAGGTATCATACATGGTGTGAGGATGGTCGTCACATCAGCCCCACATCAGCTTCATAGCATTCCTATTCTGAACCTATTACATATAGGAAGAAAACTATCCTTATCTTTGGGGTGGAGGGAGTGGGGTAAAGGGGGGGAGGGGAGAAATGTGAGTGCCTGTGATGTGAATGTAATTCTTTTCCAGTTAAAGTACAATATGGTTTATACTACAGAGGGTAAAATAAAGACGTATTATTTAATAATTAAGCAGAATCAGAGTAAACTGGAGGATGTCGTTGAGTACTTTTCAGTTCAGTAAGCTTGTATCTAGGTACTTAAAAGAGTCAACTGAGGTCAGAGGACTTTAAAGTTTATATGCATGCAACTTTTCTTTCAGATTGATAGAAGCCTGACAGGCAGAAACCTGACAGGTTGTAACAGTGATCATGCACTGAACAATTTTTTGGAAGGTGCTATACTGATTGAAAAAGTAGTGAAAACTGTCAGCCCCAGATCTCCTCTGCAGTGTCAAGTGCATACGGTACTTTACCTATTTCAAGTGTTATATTTATGAACAAGTATCAATTTCAAGGCTGAATCACTGATGGGAAAGACAACTCTTTATAGTCAATCCAAGCATTCCTCCAGATTCTATAAAAAGACTTGGATACATGTAAATACCTAAATATTTAAAGGCAAAGATGTTAAGTAGAGGTATAGATAACCTTCGGCTTAAGCATATATCTTTGCAAATTTTCGAGCTTGTAGAACGATTTATTTCCTTTTGACTGAAAGGCAGCCTATACAATACACTATTAAGATTTTTTATTGACATAGCTACCTAGAAAAAAAATCAGAAAAAGAAGAGTTTGGTTCACGACATGTCATACCTTCAGGTGACATCTCTGGAATAGTGGCCACATAAGGTCCATTCAAGAACTGTGGTTCATGGTCATTGATATCTCGAACCTTGATAATAAATTCTGATTCAGGTTCAACAGGAAGCTGAGTGCTCTTGTTAATTGCTTGTGCTCTTAGAGTGTAGAACGGCTTCTCTTCTCGATCCAGCTTTTGTGTCACATAAATTTTGCCAGTACTTTCATTAATGAAAAAAATGCTTCCAGCTCCCTCCCCAGTCAAAATGTATTTTAGGTTGCCATCCTGCTTGTCTAAATCTGATTTCAGCTGCAAGTACAGAACAGAAGAATAAGCCACATTTTGGAAGGATTAAAGTTTTGGATTATTCATTTTAGTCTTTGCTTTCATTCTACAGTGAACCTTGTCCTGTCACATTTTCAGCTAGGCATGGCTCAGTTGCAAAATATTGATATAACAGATATATAAATACATATTAAACCTGACTTAAAAAAAAAGAAAAAAGATACTCAGCCACTTTGAAGCGAAAGGAATAAATGTAAGCACCTATATTAGTTCGTTGCTCTATCAGCTCCCATAAACTTCTGCTGAAAACAATGCAAAGGTCATTAAACATTATCTGATTTTTTTTATTATTATGAATGACAAATGTACTTTGTAAGTTTTACATATTTTTTTGTAGTCAGCAGTATTAAATCCAAATCTGAGAGGCAGTGATATTCAATTTCTGTCAAAATGTTAAAGGGACGAAAAGTCATTCTATGATATAAGTCTGTATTATTTATTCTGAAAGAAATTGATAGTAAATTTATATTTCCTCTCAGGATGATCTGCATCCTTTAGCGTCTTGCTAAGGTGAACTTTATGATGATGATTTCTCTGATGAAGCTGAACCTTAGAGACCATTGTGGTCCACCTGCATTTGCTCATGCCAGCAAAATAGTTCTGTTAATGTTAACAGTATGCAACAATAGTTTTTAAATATCAGTAACTTAATTTCCTAACATGTCAAGTATCCACAGTTGAATTTTATGGGAATAGCAATTTCTATTGTATCATTAATTCTCTAATTTTTTCTTTATTTATTTCTGTGTTTAGAAAAAAAAGGTGTCAAAATTTCTAAGAGCCTAGATAATCATTGAAAAATATAGTGTAAAAAAAAAAAAGGTTTATTCAACCTGCTTCTACAAATCAGCAGCTTTTAAATGCAAATGATACATCTACCTATTGACTTCAATAATCTCACTCTTTTGTTTCATGTTTATTGACCCTGTATCTCAGTGCACAGAGTGAGGCCACAGAGTGAGATATAAAGGGCACATTACACTGTTGGATCTACTCAACATAATTTGTATTGATTTCTGAAGTTGTAAATACATTTCTAATTTTTTTTTTGAACAATGCCATTACATTTTGAAGATTTTCATAATGCATAATTGTCTGAATGTATCAAATGGACAGTTTATTCAGAATGTGACTGGGACAATGCTCTGGCAGGTGAAGTAGAGTTTGGAGTTTCTACTCTGAGTTATGCCACAGTATTTAAGCCCTACATTATACGGAGTTAATTGCCCTTGCCAGTACAAGATACAGAAGTTTCAAAGCTAGAGACTTTACAACTATTTAATATATGACCAACTTAAAGTCAAATGTTTTCAACATAAGTAGTTGTGTGGAAAACATGGGCTGGTTCTCCCCTTTAAGATTGATCTGGTCAAACTCATTTTAACACCATCTGAATTTCTTTTTTGATCCATAAATCTTGGTTTCCTTGTCTTGAACCCCAGGACATCGGAAAGGTGATGAATATCTAGAACTTTAACCTGGTGTATCAAACCCTAATTGACTAGAAGCATTCCTCAGACTGGCTGTTTAGACACAACGTGTGTTGAACCACTTAGAACCATTTATCCCAAAAAAATTTTCATGACCTCAGCCATGTCAAATGAGAGGTCTCTTACAGATGACATTTGCTGAGAAAGCATAGTGAAGCTTCTCAGTTTATCTGTTCTATTAAACTGGACACAAAAGAATAAATAGTCTTTCCATTGTAAATGAGAACCTGAAGTGATAATTTATGTACTTGCCCTTATATATCTGCCATTGCAGTGCTGAAGGACACATTTCTTTTTCTTAAACACAATAATGGAAAAGAATGCGAGTCTTTGAACATTGAGCTCTGAAACTGACTGCAAAATACCGATAGGGAATAATGACTTAAAAACGGAGAGTGTCTACCTTTCTATTTTTGTTGATATAGTTTCCTTCAGGGCCTTATTTACTAAGAATTCATGTATTTATCATAGAATATCTCTTCACTTACTGAAGGCCATCATATTTTATTCAATTGAAAGACACAAGCAAATATACCTGATTAGACAATGGTTAGACTGCAATAATCACAACATTCAATAAACGATAAAATTCAGTAAACATTGCCTGCAGTTTACCTGTGAGAAATAGAAAGACAATATTATGAATTTTTTCTAAAGCTGTATGAAGTTTCTTTACAGGAAACTGTTTTCTGTATATGGGAAAAGTAATAATAAATAAAAATGAATTATGTCTGCACTTGTTCTTTCAGAAATGAGACATCATACTTCCATAGCAGTTACTTCGAAGGGACTATGAAAAAGTAATTAATGAATTTTGAGCACTTCACCCTTTGGGGCCAATTAAATTTTAGTGCCAGTTAATTAGTAGTTAAACTTATTTTGATTCATTCATTTAGAAAGTACCTTAAAGAAAAGAAAACTAGATCTCAAGATTACAATTACTTCTAGCATGCAAAAATTAATATGTAATAA